TCTCACTTACTTCGCAAATTCTGTACTGGGAAAGTGCCACTGCTACTGGGAGGGGAAAGGGAACATTTCTGGCAGATGCATTCTTTGCCATTAAAAGTCACCCTGTCGCCTGCAGGAAAAGGCAACCTGCAACAGAGGAAACACAAAAGAATCAAGCTTACCTTCCCATGTCTTTCTTGAAATGAAATTCATTCCCATAGAGGAACCGATGGTTCTGAGTTCTTTTCCCCTACTCACTCAGTTCTCATTCACAAGTTTCATTCATATTGGAGGCTAAAATATYAAAGTGACATATCAAACAGGATATTGCAAACTTAGATATTAAAGTGACACAGGAAAAATAAGTGACAAAACCACAGTGAGTGCTCATGTCAAAAACTTTCTAAGAAACGTAGGAATGGTTGATCATGAATAGAATTAATTAACCAATTACAACAAAACCGGAACTGCAGGGAATAATAAGTACAGGCAAATATAATTGCTTTTACAATGGTAGGATTGGTAGGATGTTGCATGAGTGCATGACTTCTCTTAATTAAAAAGTCTTTTGAAAACACAACTGTGATCAGGACTTGATCCTCCTAGCTRTGATCGTATCAAAGTCCTTCTCATAATCTATTTGCTCAGAAAACAAACATCTGTGAGTGCTTGTAGGAGAAARTATATCCTAGTTATAAAAATGAAAGCATCTACATTAGTTGCTTGTTGTACTCAGCAGCTCTCCTTACACTTAATTRAAACCTTCCTTTTTTTAAAAATCAACTTCCCTAAAAGAAAAAGCTTTTCCCCATGAGCTTTACTGTCCAGGTACAGAAACTGCTGAGCTTTTTCTCTTTCTGAAAAGACCAGATGGAGAAATCACTTTATAATACAGGAAAGGATGGTGAGGAYTTAGAAACACATTTCACTTCACCCAAAGCTCATGTCAGAATAAATCCCAAGCAAGCTATCAAAATATAGCTTAAGTGGGGCATAACCATAATGCAGGCCTTCTGCCTTGTCGGGAATTCCAGCTGACCAKATTATTTCATTAGTGTTTCATTACAACTACAGGACATGTCCCCAAAATATTATCAAATCATGCTAAATGTGAGGTTGTCTTTTACATAAAAACTAYAAAGATACTTCTTGCTAAGCATATACCCCTTACTTTGCTCACCCAACCAGCTTTAGGGCGGTTTATTCTACATTCCCACTCCACAAGTGCTTCCTGAATAAGCAGACCCCAAGCGTTGCTAGCACAGATCGAACAGTCCTAAAATTCCACCAGTTTTGGAGAGGATTTTCTAGCACAAATTTCACTGATTAACCTGATACAGAACCTGGCAGCGCTGCCTCTAGCTTAGCAGCTGGGATGCTACGGAGCTCTGGTTGAGAACACATCTGCCCTGGCTTTGCGCAGGTCAGCAACAGAAACGTCTGTTTAACATTAAAAAAAAAATGGAAAAAAAGATCACATTTTCATGTTTTCTAGAATTAAACAATATGGATCCATCTGAAAAAGCACAAGCCAAGCAATTTTAAYACTTCCAGAACTGAGACAAAAACTGGTAACAGAGCTCCTACATGTTTTTAAGATACCCGGCCTTGATTTACAGATACCCAMATGTTTATTATGGGCTCTGATAATCTACTCCAAGCTACACCCACACAAAAGGAGTCACTTGCTGCATAGATACAGCCATAGAACTAACCCGCCAAACGACTACATTGAAATCTTTCATTCTTTGGGGCAGCAGCTTTCCCTGGGCAGTCCACAGTGCCATAATCCTCAAGGGGAACAAGACTGGAAATCAGCTACCCTGATGGGATCTTTCCTGAGACACAGTAACAGGGAGACACAGTAACAGTCCTGAGACACTGCCCTGTCAGTAACAGGGCAGGTTTCCTCTCAATTAACAATCCCAGAAAGAGTAAAATACTGGAAACCACGATTGCTTTGAAATAGTGTGACTATTTCAAACTGTGATTACAGAAAAATATAGTTTTATTATATTAGACTGAGCAGTCAAAGAAGGAATTAATATATTTTGTTGACTCAATGGTTTAGTTAAAAAAAGAAGTGAACAGGACACAAAGTGCATCTGAAACAAATGCAGCAAACAGTAAGTTAAGCACAGGAAGGGAAGGATGACTTTCAATTAGTTCAACTGTGCTATGCATTAGGCAATTTGAAAAAACACAGATTGATAAATGTAGAAGAAAGATAATTTACCTCCTACGACACACAGAGACAACACCTATAAAATATGCAGATGCTCACAGGCATCAGAACATTGGACCTGGTTTGGGGGTGAGGGAGCTGAGGTGGTGTGTAAGTATCCCATACAGTATTTGTTTTTTTTTTTCTGAACGTTTTATGACCACTGTGCCCATTTGCTAACAAAATAGGGGGCAATAATTTCACTTCTCTTAAGTTTTCCATGTCTGCAAAAAAGTTCTTGTTCTGGAGAAATAGGGAAGCCCTTCTTGGAAGTTGTCAGCAAGGTCCAGGCTTCAAAACTCATAAATGAATCTTGGCAAGTGCTTCACTATCTCACTGTTTGGGAACATAAAATTTGCACAAAACATATTTGCCAGTATTTCTGCAACCCTTGACTTCTCCCTTTCACAAGCATCTGGGTTCATGGATTTTGAAGCTACCAAGAGCAAAGGCACAACAGAAGSTGGTAACAGTCAATTAACAAGGTTTCAGTTTCTGAGCTCTTTAACTGGCAAGCAAGACTATATATAGCACTGTAGGTTAAGAAACAGTATATCCACTGCGGAATGTAATGACATCTCATAACTAGTTGCTAGATGCTACTCATGCTTGAAAAAATATGCAGTGTGATCTTCACAGTCAACTATTTCTTTTTTGTATGAAAATTAAGAGTCTCTTTAAAGTAGCTCTCTGAAATGACTTGCAAGGTTTTAATAGACCTGTACGATTTATCTACCTGTGAATTTTGTTTCATCCATCATCCTGGATTATTTGTAAACCTAGCAACAACACAGAAGCTGACCAACAAAATTATATGGTAAAACCTCAAATGGCCATCAGCCTAGTTCAGTGTAGCAGTGGGCTGACAAAACAGTAAGTCCTGGTCTCATCCTTCTCCGTGCTGTTCATCAGCTGCGGTCAGATCATTCGAGCTTTCCAGCTCTCTTTTCCAAAGATGAGGGACAACCTTCCRTTCTGCCTCTTGCTGAATAACCATATCGATATAAGAAAAATGAACATAAATATATTTACTTTAAAAGACAAAATGCCAAGAACACCCAATCCAATTTCACAATTTCTGCCTGAACATCCAGATGAAGATGACTGCTTAAGGAGGTTCGACAAGAAGTATCCAGCACTGTTTAAGTGGAAGCCAAATRCTTTTGAAAGACAGCAGCAAAGGAAAGTGAACAATTAAAATGTTTTAGTGGATAAGAAGTCTGATGTAGCTGCTCATTTCCAGAAAGAATTGCATTTTAACTTCTAGTTTTCCTGTATTGTCCTAATTTCTTAAGATACACATATACACAATCCTCTGGGCTTCTTTCTAGAAACAGCAGGGTTACACACAAGGCTAAATATTTTTTTCCTCCATACTTTTTTTCCATTTACAGATTCACAGATTCACAGAATATTTAAGGTTGGAAGGGACCTCTACAGATCATCTAGTCCAACCTTCCTGCTCAAGCARGCACACCTACAGCATGTGGCACAGGGTGGCATCCAGGCGGGTTTTGAAG